CTTTGAGGAATTGATTCTTTCCTGTTCACCAGTTGTCAAAATTTACCAAATGTATGAAAACCTCGGGCTGCTTTTTGACTGTTTTATCAAAAAGTTGTCATTCTGGTTCATGTTACATTTCTTCCACTGCAACTTTGCACAGCATATTGGGAGCACCAAAAAGGAGCATAATTGTATCTAATTTACTGACATTAACCTAAGCAGGTGTTTGTTCCACCTTTAGAAGCCTGACAACTCAAACAATCTAAAGTGCAGGTTAAGCCTCCTTGGGAAAAAAAACAACTGTCAGCTTAATAGGCCCTGCCTTGCACTGATAAGTGCCAAGGTGTCTCCCAGTCTTTGAAAGTAGGTGGCTAAAGCTTCTAAAACCTTTGCGTAACGGCACTGCGAAACACAGTTCATTGTCTTTATATTTTTCTCTTTGAAGTGAATTGACATTCAGCCTGGAGTTTGTCTGGAACCTCTCAAACTCCTCCATTGCACTATTTTAAGTTGGAGCAGCCCTCTTGTCCTTGAAAATCTCAAGCAGGTTGTCTACCCCCTGTGTTTTGTCGTTGAGAGAGAGAGGCTGATCGAGACAGACATGTCAGCATAAGCCAAAGAGTCTGTCAAACTCTATATTTGTGACAAAACATGCTAGTTGATGCGGACAATTCTCAGTAGAGCCGCAGGACATTGAAGAAAGTAGGGCCAAGACATGGTCATGTGACTTGAATACAAGAGCAATATGTCCGTGGTGATGGCAGTCAATTTTGTCTGACAGTCAAGGGGCTTGGAGAGAGTGCACTCCACCACAGGCAGCGGCAAAGCTGATGCTATCAGCAAGGGGGGTACTTATCTGTTTTCACGGACATACTGTACCACATAATGCACATCCTAAATGTAATTGCACCAAACAACTCCAGCCTTTCACTCTCACATCCATTCCTGGACCTCTGCCCCATCAGAGTTTACCATCTGCAAGCTAAAGCAGCTAAAGGTGGGTTTTATTTGAGACATAAAGGCACAGAGTCAAGTCCTAACCTTTGAATTTCAAGTCATGAGTCGTTTGGCCAAATATGTTCAACAGATTGCCAAACATAATGATGAAACTACAAAAGATAAAAATAACATTTTTATCTATTTAAAATAATATTTTGATCTTTTGTACCAGGTTCTTTTATACTAAAGGAGGATATTTGTATTTTTTGCTCCACCTCATGTCAAAATATTGTCTATTTTGTACAATGTGTTTTCTGTTGGACTATTGTCTGTGCCAAATACAGACTGGGGTCAGGCAGAATTGTTTTGAGGTGGAGCTTAAGTTAACAGCTGGAGACATTTCTTGTTTTCGTTGTTTCTAAATTGACTTAAGTCATTTTCTCCTGCAGCTGATATTCTTTCATACACATTATAAATATCAATAGAATTTTTTTGCCTGAAACTTTTGTGAAAAAAAAAAGAAAAAAAGACAAGACTGTGTACAGAGGAGCCTGACGATTACTGCTGCCTGCCTGTGTAATGAATGTGTGGCATGGATAAAACACCCTCCCCCCCAAAAAAATAAATAAAAAATACATAGTATTTGTATTGTACTCCCACATTGCAGCTGAAAGGATCCCATGATCCCTATATGCTTCTTAAAAATGATATTGATTTTTTCTCCCTTTTCTGCAGCAATTCCCCAGAGTACAGCAGTTCCTTTGTATCCCTTTGGAGACTCCTTTGATGTGAACAGGCCACTGTGGCCTCTGTATTTCATCTGAAAGGGACGTGTCCTAATAATCAGAGTTTATCTGTCTCTATCTTGTGAATATATAACTTTGAAACATCTTCTGCAGGTATTTGCAAAACTCCTCTGAGGTTTTATATGTATACTGCTAAGAAAACATGGAAATGCACTTGTTGTTGGTCTTGCTTGTGCTTTGTTGACTTGCTAGGTCCCACTGGCTTGTTTTCTTCTTTCTGTATGTACTGTGGCACATTATACAGTTGCAATGAGAGGTATATTTGCACTCATCATCATATCTTTTAATGAAAGACTAATTGTAAATCTGAACAGCTTGTTTTTCAGGATAGAGTGACTATGAAAGACAATTTTAATGAATTTGAAAACAAAACAGATGAACAAATATACAAACTATAAAAGTGGGACTTGCAGTTGGAAGGCAATGGCTGGCAGTTCCTTACCACATGTCAAAATGTCCTAGGGCAACACACACTGGCTCTGACCTACTCTGCTCTGCTCTGTCTGAATTAGATGGGCATATGTGGCTTGAAGTGTAACCACACTTTAAAAGGCCATCGAGCTAATAAATAGATTTTTAAAAGCAAACTATGATTTAAAAGCAATATAATTAAGTGCAGCATTGTTGCCTTGCATCAAGAAGGTCATGGATTTAAAAAAGGCTTTGGTTTTAAACCCAGTACATGAGATTTGAATGTACTAGAATTTATATGAAATTTGCATGTTCTCCCACTTCAGTATTTTTTCTTGTGAGATTATTGAGAGGACAAAGCTTCTGATCAGCATTATAGGTTCTTTGTGTCTGTCTCTGCAGACATTATTAGTTTTAATTGGCAGTCTCACAAAAAGATCATATCTAGAGGCTCAGCTGGCTCTGATTTCCACCAACATCTTTGATAACAGATCTTTCATTCTGTTTCAAGCTAACAATTGAAATGTCCTGGGAGATCACCTCTGTTTATGGCAATGTCTTGACTCAAGACCAAAGGTTACCTGGCCTTAGCCACCTGAGCCCTTGAGCTTTAGATATTTATTTGCTTGTTTTGAACATGATAGAAGTATAAAATCACACACATGAATATGAAATGCAAAAGACATATTTTGTAGAAAATTCTTAACATGATCGAAAAGAAGTAGGATACTTTCATCCTATGTATCCACTAAAAATGTGGTTTACAACTATTCTTTAAACAAGTAAACAAAATAAAGCCGTTATTAATAGTTCTAGAAAATATTTTAAGTACATTTTAAAAAATATAGAAGTCTACTGAACCACTATGCAAATCGGATCTAAATGTTGTTCTTAATAATGCAAATTAATAAAGGTTGTCCTTGCATCTCTGATTGGAGATGGTTCTTCATGTAACTATAATGGATGCAACAGCAATCACTTCACTTATATTTTATCTTTGCCAGAAACATTTTTTGAAAATAATTGCTATGGAGTTACCCCACTTGTAGCGACAGAGTATCACCAGCAGGGAGCACAATTTTCTTACCATCCTTCTTGTTTCCAAAGCCAACATAAGGGCAGTTGTGAAGGTTCATTTCAGAGGAAACAGAAGTGTTGCAGAAAATGCCTTTTAAATGAAAGAGATAGAGATATAAACAGTAAGTTTCAGTTCTGTATATTATTATAAAATAGAAAAGTACAATACTTTACTCCCACTTAGTACTTGTAAAACAGAGTTAATATGCCGGTAACTTATTAAGTTACTTATAATTTTGTAAGATAATATTCTTGTAATAATGCCAGTAGTTACCAACCACTGTAAATTTCTCAAATAAGTGCTGTGTTAGGATTATGTGTGTGACAGGCTATAGATTTAACCCATTTGATCTCTCAGTTTAGCCATTTTGTCTGGGTCACTTTGAGGAACTTATTTAAAACTGAAGTTAATCACTTAAATTTGAAACCACTTGTCACCATCAGCTTACAGAAATAAAATGGGTACAGCAAAGCTCCAAATGTTTTAGACCGTTCACAGTAGTTATTAAATGAACAGCAGTATATAAATTGTTGAGATGTCATTTATCTGATTTATTCGTTTGTTCTGGCAGTCACCCCTAAAGTAAATATTTCTTGATAGAGACTAAGTAGGCAGCAAAAGGACTGCAACCAGTTAAAGACTTTTCAATATCTTTGTTTCAATATGCTTTTTTTGAAAGCTGGTATTTTAACTCTATTTTTTGGATTAAATAATATCTATCTAGATTAACAATTAAAAATCGTAACAAGTACTAGTTTTTAACTTGACCTCAGTCTATTGTATTTTGTGGATTTCAGTTAAGATAAGTTGGTTAAGATAATCTCAAAACACATATTTAATTAAAATACAAGCACAACTTACCAAGGGCAAGTAGGATGTTAAGCTGAAGGGAAACATTGTGGATCGGGAAAGGAGTCAGTGGAGAACAATGAGACGAGAAGACTGCAGGTGAGGCAATCAGGAGATAGGAAACTCCTGTGCAGGACACAAAGACCAGCAAGCTGAAGGGAGCAGAGGAAAGAAGAGCAATGAACAGAAACAAATTAAAGGATAGCCTACCTAAAATTAGCAGAAATATTAAACTGAAAGGAAAACTCTAATCTTAGGGTAGCAAATTCAAATATATGAATATTATAAACAAATAAACCCAAAAAAATACAAAAGAATGAACAATGCATCAAAATGAAAAAAAAGAAATGATCAAGCAAATAACACCCAAAGTTCAACCTCACACAGATCCTAACACTCTCACAGGGTTTGTAAAGGTAATCATTCATACACTGTAAAATGTAAATTATTCTGAATTTCAGGATATCTATTAAAAGATTCCAGTGATACTTGCAAATTTTGATTAAAAATCTTAACTTCAGAGTCATTGAGCAACAATCTAAACTCTACTTTTGCTTAGATTTGACCACAGCCACAAAAGCAATATCAATAGATTAGTGAGTAGATTCAGGAAGGAGGTGATAGTTTGATTTATTGATTCATTTGATGAAGTAAATTAACTATTGTTGTATTAACTTGTGTTTTGCTATCTAATATTATTGAAGTCCTAAATAAATACAAAAAATGTAACTTTCAACAATTTGAAATTCTTCAACATTCTTATCCACAACCATGAATTTAAAGTACCCCAGGCCAGCAGGGGGCCCTTAGCAGCCGCTTAATTTGCTTGTGCCTTGAGCCAGCTCCAGTCAGCCCCAGTCTACCTGCTTTAAATAAACTCTTGTGGGAAACGTTGGCTCTCCAATAATTGTGGCCTTCAATTGAGATGTGCCGTTATCAGGGACCCCAGGTCTCTGAAACTTGAGAGGAAGGTGGGCAGGGCAGCGCAGGTAGAGGCGTTTAAAAGGAGAGGGACTCGTTCTTCCAGTGAGCGCTGGTTTCCTAAATCTTTGCAGGTGGGTTCTGCCGGGAGCGCGGCATTGCGGCCGAGCTGCTTCTTGGAAAAGGGCGTCAAAGAGCAGCTGAGGCAGGCTCAACTTTTGGCTGCAACGTTTCCACTCTGAAAAAAGCCTCATCGAGCTGGTGAGGGAAATCTTCCCAGAGGGAGTCGGGTTAGTTTGGGAATTTGGATTCTTGTCTGGAGATCCAGGATTACTTTTTTTTTTCTTCGATTAGTTTTATTGCTCATAGAAGTTGATTGGTTTAAGTGTAAGCCTCTGTACAACAGGATGGATGTGATTTGCATGTGACCTGTTTTTATAATCTATATATAATATCTTAATTTATTTTCAAAAAATCTCTAAACGCATGCTTATTCTTTATGCTTATTGTGTCTCTGTTTTGTTTAAAAATCCTCAATAAAACTCCATGGTCTAAAAAGTGTAATTCGCCTCTCCTCTCACAGATGTCCGTACAACTGAACGGAGGCCTGCAGCTGAAGACGGCAGCGAAAAGTAAAGAGCTAAAATCTTTAGTTTTTGACGTGACCACCTCTGACAGATGCGCCGGTAAGCGACGCAAATCACAGCTGCGGCGAGAACGAAGGAGAGAACCGACAAAGTGGCTGCTGCACCAGAGTCTGCGGAGGGCTGCGAGCAGAAAGCTCAGCGCAAGATGACCCGCAGCCCCAAATGCGCCCGCTGTCGAAACCACGGCGTCGTGTCGTGCTTGAAAGGCCACAAGCGCTTCTGCCGCTGGAGGGACTGCCGATGCGCCTGCTGCCTGCTGGTGGTGGAGCGTCAGCGCGTCATGGCAGCGCAGGTTGCGCTGAGGAGGCAGCAGGCTGCCGAGGTGAGAAGAGGGCATGGATAGGTCAGTGGAGCTCAGATGATAGAGAGGGGGAACAAATCCTGCAAATGATCAGCGGATGGATTGTATGACATGTAGATATTATGTGAGAACAATATAAATTGTGCGTCAAGAAAGGAACTGAATATTAATGTGGTGGAAAACAAAAAGAGCTCAGTAATCTAAATAGACAGAAAAAAAGAACTCGGAATTTGGTAAGGTTGTCCTTGTATTTTCTTCAGACACATTTTCCACACTAGATAATTTACAGATGCTTATACTGTATTTTTTTTATTTAGATATATTTATATTTAATGGGGTATATTTTGTTATTGTGCTGCTGTAACAAGAACATTTCCCCACTGTGGGATTACTATTCTATTCTAACAGAAGCTTCAAACTGCATATAAAATTGCATTTTTGCATTGAAAGCCTGACAAATATTTTCAAATAACATTTGGCAAAACACATAAAAGAAACCAGCAATGCTTTTCTAAGACTTAAGGCAGTTATCTCTTTATTTATAAAATGTAGTTTTGTTTTCAACTGAACCAGTGCAGACAAAAGCTAGAGAGCAATTCACTTTACACGCCCACATAATATGTAATCTGATTCGATTTATTTAGCAAAATAGCATGGATGTGTGTTTTAAATGGAGATTTAAATATTGTACATTTATGTCAAATACCAATACTAAATAATCCTAATGAATATCTGTCCAGTGTCTTAAATAATGGATTCCTCATCCTAATTGGCCCTGGAAAGTTGCCTTTGTAAAATCCAATTATGTCCAGATGTCTGATTCTTGTTCACCTTTTTCTCCCAGGGTAAAAAGGGGGTCAAGTGTTCAGCTCCATTGAGGAGAACAGCATATCAGTGTTTTACCAAAGCAGCTGACTCAGGCATTGTGGTTAAGAGCAACCCGGAGGGTAAAGTATAATTAACACCCCATTACTTATTCACATTTTCCTTTTCTCAGGAACTTTGTTAGAAAGTGGGTTTTTTTCTGGTTTTGAGTACACTTTTAAATATTTACCTTTGCTCTCAGTGGGTTACATTAACAGAAATTAAAGGTTGACTAATATCTACCTATACTTTACTATTTGTAAATTTAGCTCAGCTCAAGTTCTTGTGCTTGTTGCTCCTCCAATGGTCAAAACCAAAGTGAGTCACGTTCATAGAATAGCCTTCAAAATAATTATTAATGTGACAAAACTTGATGGATTTCTTCTGGAGGCTTTCTGTCCATTTTCTAGATTTTTAAGGATTAGACTTAATTCAAGCCATCCCTACTTCACAATTTGTCATGGTACCACAAACCTTGATTCATTTTAATCTGAACTGATGTGCTGGGTCAACAAGGTAGCACATATCCATAGAGAGAAAGTAAAGTTATACTTTTATTTATTTATTTGTATTTATATAAGAGTGTTTTAACAGTTATAACAGTGCTTTTATATTCTGTCCATTTGCTCTCATACTTTGACATAAACACCGTTACAACCTATAGTATTCAGAAGACCCCTAGTAAATAGTTCCCAAGTGGGAAATCTAATCTCAGGAAGAATGCAACTATTTGATGAAGAATTCAGCGGTATGTTTGAGAACATTAGCAACCCAACAACATTATCAAGAGAAATGAGCAAACCACAGATCAGGGATGCAGTTGCAGAGTAATTTAAAGCAGATTTAGCTTTTAAAACAATAGATCAAGCTTTGGACACCTCACAGAGCACTGTCTAATAAATCATCCCTAACTGGGCAGAGAATGACACGGCGTCAAACCTTTCCAGGCACAGAAATCTATCTGCAGACAAGCAAAACAATATTCAGAGATATAGCAATCCACAGCTCAGGTGGGAGAGTTGTGGACTACTTTGACAAACCAATTCAACAGTAGCTTGCTTCTTACCACTAAGCTTAAGTGGTCCACTTTACAATTTGGTAAAAGCCATGAAGGGAAATCAGTAAACTTGTGGAAGAAGGTACTCTAGTCAGATGAACCCAATCCAGAATTTAGTTGAAATTGACACTATATGTCACCTGGAACAAAAGGTTCCAGAAATTCAGACTCCTTTCAAAACATCTAACTGAGCTTCAGCAACAAAGCAAAGAAATACATTTTTCATCTTGTACATCCAAACATCCAAGCTGAAAGATAATTCTACAAAGAAATGACTCAGGGAGGCTAAATTAAAATGTTGGCTTTTCAATAGGGTCTTTGCGAGGGAAGCTGCAAAAATCTGGTTTCTAAGTGTACCCCTGAAATGCAATTCATTAAGGCTGCCAAGCCATTTCCATTTGTCCTCTCCATACTCCTCCAGAACAGCTAGGAGACACTAACCTTTAAAACATAGGGATAAGGGCCAAGAATGAGGCGCTAGGAGGGAAATCAAATTCAGATTAATTCTTGTTGTTCTTTCTCCAAAGTGAAAATGACAGCACTAACCAACCACCTGATTAAACTAACAAACAACACAGTATTGAAATTTAAGCTGATTTAATGATGGAAACATGGTTTTCTTTACAAAATGGATGTGTAACAGCAGAATGTGGCTTTGCTCCCATGTTCAGGGCTAAAACATCTGATGACCCCAGAGGACAGTGTGTCCAATTGGTCTAAGCAGCACCACCAAAGCAACTTTCCATGCCCCTCCATCAGCACCCGCATGAGGAAGAGGCGAGCCTTTGCAGACAAAGAGCTGGAAAACGTGATGCTGGAGCGCGAGTTAAGACAGAAAGAGCTGCAGAGCGAAGTTTCCTTCTCTCCCTCCGCTCTCATGCCCATACTTCATCCTCTACCTCTCCCCGTCCCCCCATGCCTCCGCTGCTGCTCCACCAACAAGGACTCTTCCTCTGCAGGGACTTCCAGCTGCGTGCCTGTATATAAATATAAGCAGCTCTGTGACTGTGGCCTCCAGTTTTATGATTTCTTCCACCTAAAGAGTAGGCGCTCCACAGGAGATCACTATGATGACTTTTTATCAACCCAGAGCTCATCGCAGCACAGGGAGGATAAAGAGGCACAGAATGGTTGGAGAGACTGTAGGAAGAGAAGCGAACCAGAGCCAACACCCCCAGCATCACATCAACGACTCAAAACCGATAACGTACCATGCATCTGCTTTGTCAAACCAATGTTAAAACAAACAGAAACAATCAACATAGATCATTTTTCAACATCCAGACTCTCAACGTTTGGATCAGACCTGCCTGTTTTAAATGAATTGGGTGTCCCGGCTCACAGCAGGACTTTTGATTCCAGACATTTAGCAGGAAGAGGCTGGAACACAGGCCCTCCTTCCACCGAAGCAAATCCTTGTATGGACTTTGTGGCGGGTTCTCATCATGGCGCAGTGAGGACACCGACCGCAAAGCCGTTGCCTTTTTCTGTGGAGGCTCTGCTGAGAGCCTGACAGGCAAGTGGAAAGTGGAAAGTCTAAATGCACTTTGCTGTATGAGAGCTTGAATGTAAAGCACAAATATTATAACTCCAATCCATGCAACACATATGCATTATTTAAATGTTGTAAGACATATTTTGGCAATTCTTTATATATTGTTGCACAGTACATTTTATAGATAAATATCTTTGGTTACCATCATTTTATGTAAAAGTCTGCTTTGGCTATATTTTCGAGCAGCGATATCTTCATCCTCCTATGCAGTGCAATAAAAATATATCAAATCCAGTTGTGTTTTACTTATATCTGCACATGCTGCACCAATACAACAGAAACCTTATGAAACTTAAAGCATCGGAACTGAATCAGAATTCAAATGTGGATGTCCTTTTTACTGTTCCTTGTAAAGCTCTCTAAAATTATGAAACGAGCCCAAATTGCTCACAAAGCAGGAGGATTATAAAGCAGTGACAAGGTTTTTGCAACGTTATTTAAAAAGCATGAATGTTTTACCCAAAGATTTCTAAAGCAGTTTTTCCAGTTGATTTTTCTTTGTTGTTTTCAAAATGACACTGGTTGTCTAAAAGTCAATAATCGTGCAGCATACTGTTTGATGTTTCATGAAGTATAATTTCCTACTTCTAAAGACTGAGAAAAGATGGAAAAATGAGCCAGTGTTGCCTAGGCGACATTGTTCTTTATTTTGCACCGTGGCTGACGCCAGTTGAGTTTGTTTGAGCATGCATTTGATTTGTATCTGCTTTTCTTACTCTTTCTCTCCTCCAGCTTTTTGTTCTGCTCAGTTATCTTGCAGAGATGGAGGTCAGATACTTTTGACAACTCTGGACCTTGTGGCGTCAACACTGAGGGCGATAGAGCAGTCTTTGTTTGTGAAACTCTACCAGCATATCAGAGCGTCTCGCTCCTCGTCTTTTCATGAGCACACAAGTAAGACTGAAGCAGCACAAAGGAAAGTAAGGATGTCAGGATTAAAGATTTGAATGTATCTCTTTGTGTTTGTGTGTTTGTGTATTTGTGCCACTTTGGGAATATTAGCACAACTACAAAGCAGGATATGATTTGCAGCTCTCACTTGATTGGTAAAATGATTAGTGACAGTGGTAAAGAGGATAATGCAAATGGTTTACAGCAGTACTTAAATGCTATGTGTAGTGTTTCAACCAGTAGCAGCCCTGCTTTTAGATTGCGCTCATGCTCACCTCTTCTCATTGTAATTATGTCAAAGATAAATTCTTGATCTATAAAATGTGGGATTTTTTTTGCATTTGTTTCATTATTTTCACCGGATTATTAATGTTTTTGTTTGTTGGTGGGGGTTACAATCCTGACAAAACAAGCTCAAACCTGTGTTTACACCCAAAACTTTCTCTCACATGCTACCTATCATCACCCTCTACTTATGCATTCCTGCTGTTCATTCGTTCATCGGGCAGAATTTCCATTTCAGGCAGATTGATTTCAATCATTCGGAATAGAAAAGCTACGCTTTGACTTTTTTCTGCAATTCTGATATCCACATATGCAGTTTCAAATCTTTGTGAGCCAATATAGAGAAAAGAGAAACAAAATGTTAAAAAATCAAAACGTCACTTCAAACTATTTCCCTCCTTTTTAACCATTCCACTCCAAAATATTTTCAAAACATTACTGCAGATGAACATTTTGTTTTGTACATGATACATAAAAGCCTGCTCATAAATTTATTGTCAGGGTTTTGGTCATGAAAAACAAAGATGAAAAAGAAGCAGTCACTTTTTATACTTATCTAATCTGGAAGAAACTTCCAGAAAACTGCAATTATGTTGAGTTCCTTTAAATCAATGCAGCAAACCCATTTGTTTACAGTTATCTTTGATTAATAATAACTGGAGTATCAATTTTATTCTGCATTCAAACTTTTCATTGCCTTCCTTCATTTTAATCACAAATGTTCTTGCGGTATTTTTAGTAAGTATTGACTTGTTACTAAAATGTGCTGAACAAATCAATTTACACAGCACCGTCTTGCTAAATTAATAAAATTATGTGTATTTCCCCATTGCCTTTATTTTCTTCCACACCATTCAGTGTTTTCACTGAGCTGAATCAAAAAACGGATTGTTCCACAGGACTCTGAGCTCAGACCAGGACCTGACACTGCCCAGCCTCTCTGCTTGTTTGGTATGATCAGACGACTCCCCCTCTTAGACAGATCATCAGCAACATTTAGTATCAGGATTCAGTGGAAAGCCTTTGATCGTCCTGCCAGCTCCGCCTTGCTGCGGACTAAAAGCGGACTAAAAGCCTACGTCTTGGCATGGGCAAGGTCATTTGCCTTGGCACTTCTGAGGGAAACACGATCGGAATGCAATGCTTGTTGGTATGGGATTGTTGAGCAGGAAGAAGAACTTTCTCTGTGAAGAGACTGACATGCTGAGACTGTGCAGAGAGAAACTTCATTCAGCATTAGAGGAAAGTTATTTTTAAGAGTTTCAGTCAAAAATAATCTTTGTCCCAATAGAGACAAAAAGAAACATGTTTAAGTTGCTCTGTATACAAGAGTAAGAACTTTGGCAAGGAAACTGAAAAACTTCACTTTTGTTGCTACTTGTAGGTCACTAATAATGTAACCTACAAGCAGCACATTTAAAGATTAAATATCACTAATCTGCACATTCTCATACTTCAAAGCTATATCCTGTGGGATAAGGGGGTGATTTTTATCAGAACATGAAGAAGATTGTAATACAAAGTTTGTTTTGATATCTTATACTGGTGATTGTTTTGGTATGTTGAGTTGGCTGTGAATTGCGATGCCCTTAGCTACCATAACAGTTTAGCTTGTAGTGAGTTTTGAGTTTGCAGAGACTTTGAATAGTTTTACAAAGCAGTATCTATTACTAATGTATTTCATTATAAATTGGAGTTGGCTATTTTCTCAATCTTATTTTTGAAGTTATACAGCAAAACATATCTAATACTATGTAAGCTGCAGCGAAATTCAAAATTGTAAACGTCACTGTTAAATGTTATGACTATTATAAGACTATGATATGTCATTTCAATTTTTTTGACAATTTATATAATTTATTATTTTCAATATTTCAATACAACACATAAGAAGTTACACAATACTTTTCTTAAGTACATTTGTTCTTCTTGTGTTTAAATCTGCCATTAAGTGCATTTAATTTTGATAAACTGAATTTAATTAAGCTGTCGTAGATTTCGTAAGTACAAGTCTAACTCATTTAAACCCATAATTAATAGAGAAGTAGCAAAGGATCAGACGGATCTCATTGAAGAAAGGAAATGTGTAAAACTTTGTAATATTCGGCTTTATTAAAGCGAAACTCACAAAAACACACAAGGGGGATTTTGTCTCAGGAAAACAGGTCCTAAGTGTTACAAGGTCAATTTGATTTAAAAAAAACCCATAAATATTCAACCATTCAAAATGAAATTAATAGATTTTTACCAACAATGATTTATTCAGAAAACCCAAAATTTTAATGCTTAATAGTAGTTATCCTGATACCTAAATCATTAAACCAAAACCCTCCAAAATAATCAGAGGTCTGATTCTCCTTGCTTGGGTTGAGTCATCAACCAAACTTAAATAATTGAATGTCCTGTTCCTTTATTTTGTGAGAATTTTGTCCATAAAAGAGTCCCATAAACTCAAAATCAAAACAACGTCCTGGAAGCGTCTCTCCGTATTAATCCCCAGTCTCCATCCCGAAAGAAAAATCCAAAACGTCAAAGAAAAACCAAAAAAATGAGAAAAAAGAAGAGTGGTACCACCAAAAAAAAAAACCCAAAAGGAAAATAAGGTCCAGATCTCACCGGGAACGTCCCATTTCCCCCCCGGTGGTTTCATCCACACACTGGTGTCGTCCTTTTGCACCGGGCGGCGTTTCCAAGGTGCAAACTTCGATTCAGTCTCTTGGGATCGATCTGCGGCGCTGGGTCGAACCTTAATCGTTGTTTCATCTTTTTCGTTAGTTTTTTTCTCCCTTGGTTTAAACAATCAATAAAGCTAAAACTACCGCTGCACAGATCTGAACATGAGCGTCTTACCTGCCCCCTTTTCATTACTAATTTTTCACACATCTGGTTAAAAACTGATTTACCCAAAAATCAGTTTTTAACAGTGGAAATTCAAAATATTTTTTAATAATGAAATCCCAACAACTTCCTTAAGACAGTTTTCTATTTTTAACATTTAATATAGTTATTGAAAAAAAAAAACATAGTGGTTATGTTACAACATCATTTTATCAAGTTTCACATCATTAATCATGAAGTGGTACAGTGAAGACAGTCATCAGTAACTGATGGAAATTAGGGGCAATACAATAACTGGATGATTCTTTGAATTTATATTTAAAAAATGTAAGACGGATTGAAGGAGCAGCAAAGATTTCCAATAGGAATTTGTGTGTGTGGGTGTGTGTTCAGTTTTATGATGACAACCTCCTGCAGTCTTGTCTAGACCAGTGGTTTTAAACTGCATTCCTTGAGGGCGAGAGTTCTACAACTTTTAGACGTGTCTCTTGTTCTACACACTTGAATTAAACGGTAAAAGTGCCTCACTAGCATGCAGTGAAGCTCTTCAGAGCTTTGATAATGATCTAATATTGGAGCCAAGAGTGCTGAAGCAGATCTAAAAGTGCAAGACACCAGCCCTTGGGGACTGGAGTTTGAGACCACTAGTCAAGACTGCAAAGCAGAAACTATTTCTTGGTGATTTGGATGTCTTGCATATTACAACAGATGTGGCCCTGATACATCCACCCATCTCCTAACCCACTGTACCATCATGGTTGAACATAATTTTTGTGCAGTTCACATTTTTCTAGTTGAAAACCATGACATATAGGTTCTGATTCTCAGTTTGGTTGCTTCACAATCTGCCACAAATACTTCCAGTGCAAACAAGATGTCAAGAAGATGTTAACAGAACCACATCGACCAGAAGTGTCTATTACCATTCCAGTCTATTACCATTGCAAATCCACTTTTCTATGACTATACAACAGATAAAAAGAACTAAAGCAATGACAAAAATTGGCATTGGTTTAAAATTATAGTAAACTTTAGCACTAATAGTTTGATAATGTACTTTCAACAGAAAAGAGCACTGAGCTCAGACTGAAGCGTGGTTAGCATCTGATTAACAAACAGATTCATTTCAGACACGAGTAAATGTAACAGTAAAATAACTCAGCCCCTGCAAGGCAAATCTGAACATTTCCAGAAAGCAAAATCCTACTCCAGGAAAATCTCACTCTGCTTTTATAAGAAAAATCTGAAATAGCTGATGCTTAATCAGCTTCATGAAGAGGTGTCTTATTTTGAAGGCCACAATGTACGTCTACAGTTGACAGAACAGACTTT